GCCATTGGCCGCCTTCAGCGCGCTGCCGGCCCTGCGGAGGGGAGACAAGCGTGATTGGCGACGCCCGGCGATGCGTGCGCGCCGCTATTTCTGCGACCGACCTCGTCGTGCGACGAGCGCCGCGCGCATTCCCGTCGTACTGTCATATTCGCACTTTGCAACTCTTACTTACATACATTCAAATTATGACTAGCTATGTTTTCTAATAATATACTAGCCCAATAATTTCCTTTATTCAGAAACCACCAAAAAATTGTTATAGTTAGGTATGGTATAGTTTAGTATAGTATTTATTAAGGTAAAAAAAAAAACTGGATCGGTTAGAGTAAGTTTAATTTAAACGACTAAGAGCATATTTAAATTAATAGTTTTTTTTTAATTAATAGATACATAAGTACAACTAAGGAAATTACAAATACACTTCGAAGTAGGTACCTTAAATTTTTTAAACAAAAATAATAATAAAATTATATTTAGCATAAATAAATACAGGTAAACCTAAGTAGGTAGACAGAAACTGTTAGTGTATCTCATCACATTGCAGATGTCTTACGACTGAATACGTTAGCACTTCTAGCTAATTCATTACACACAATTTTGCATAATGTCGTGTGTATAAAAGAAAAATCATTTTCAATAAAATACCACTACATCACGTCAAAAAACCAGAGAAAAGGGTAGTTACCATATTATTTTTCTTAGCTAAAAGCAATATTTGAACCCTTTGATACATGACGAAGATGAATAACTTATCTTAGCTTATCAAGCACGAAAACTGTCTCTCATCATATTAGTACAAAATTATTACAACCTCCAAAGTAAGATATCCATCCAAACAACGACCGGTACAATCAAAAGGTTACTTTTTAATTTTACTAGTTGCAAAATAGGCACCTTTAACAATACGAATTAATCCTGTACCACGACAATTATTATTACATCTAATCTAAAACAACTGGAAACAATAACCTAAAACCCAATTAAATGTTGAAAAAAAAGTTTTTAGATCTAAAATGAAATAGATTTCTCTAAAATTTAGTCTAAAACATTTGATATTAATTTAAATTGAAGCAGAATGCGGTTAATCATCAAACAAGCCATTAACACGACTAATTATTAAATTATGTAAATTTTAATAAAGTTTTTATTAATAAACAAATTCTAGGTGTATTAATAAAAAAGACACAAAAATATTTGTCATGTAGAACCATACGTACGGTTATATAAACCTGAATAATTATATTGTATGAACTTGTCAATAGATTTATCTGAAGTTTCTACAGCTGTATAAGTAAAAACATTTAAAAATGCCACATTCCTTTTACTCTTCTAAGGGTCTCTAAAGCATATTAAAAATTACATATGGAGCAACGCGACATCAACTAGACTAATGCAACTTTAAGTTGATGGAAATAAAAACGTTCTGCTAAAATCTAACTATTACAAGTTCCATTGGGAAACTGAAACTGAAAATTATCATAATTACAAAGTAGTATTAAATTAAGTATGTAGGTACCGGGTGTAGAATTTTTACAAAATACCATTTGTTTGTGTGTCATACTTTTGTCGATAACAAATTTCTTTGAAGTATGGTAACAATAAATGTATTTTAAAAATGGTACAACTTCATAAAACCTTATTCATTGAAACAAAAAGCAAAATAAAATGTTTAATAATTGCAACAAACACATGCTATGGCAAAAAATCTACTTTCGTTACTACTACGTTTTAATTGATTATTTGAGTGTGACATAAAAGTGCTAATCATCGACATAAAAGAGTCGTATTCGTTCAATTTTGTGTGAATTCTATGAATTCTGAATAGTTACAGTTTTCATCATCGCGTGTATGTCTACCATTAAGTACACCACTACGCCACGATATGTGCGTTTCCAATAACATTAGCATTATTGACATCTTCTACGAAACGTTTGTAATGTTCTCTAAGAAAAAAAGAAGGCTTTTTAAATAATTATGGGAGGCACATAGACAGTAACGCTAAATAACTTTGACTGAGTGCATGTGAGTGAGCGGGGACATGGCGCGCGGCGCGGGTCGCGGGTCGCGGGGCGCGGTTTTCGTCGGCCGGTGTCGGCGAGGGCCGATTTATGATAATTGAAGACATGTTTCATTGGCGCTCAGATGTTTATTTTAGATAAGAGAGTCGGTTGGCACTATTTCATGCGTCCAAATCAACCGCGAGGCGCGACCTCCCGCGAGCCGCAACTCCGATTGCAGCGCTTGCTTCGTTTATTCATCTCGATTTATGCTTGCCATTTGTAAACCAAACTCAAAGCGTGTGAAATCGCGACGAAAATAAGGCCATATCGATTTAATTTCTCTCTAAACTCATTAAACAACGACTGTCTGCATTTTGGAACTCCTGACAAATTTGTGTATTCAACAATGTGATAATAAACATTTAAGTAAACATGAAGAAAATTGATCCACCTTCAAGTCCGTCAAGAAAAATCCTTTCATAAAGGATGTAAAAGGCAACGCATCGGCATTCGATCTCTAAGCTGACTATCGACATATTGCCCACCCCTGTTTTATTCGAACGATCGAGTTTGTGTTGTGACATCGTGAAGGGTTTACGCTGCCATTTTTTTGTTAAAGCATGCAAATTGAGTTTGCGTTAATCCCGGCTTGATGTGCCGGAGGCAAAGTAAGGCAAGAATCGTTATTCATGTGTTCAGGGCGCGGCTGTTTACATGTTGTTTATTGTCTGTAGCGGTATGAACACGACACAAAGCGCTCGGCGCGCCGTTGACAGCTGACTCGACAATTGAACTGAGGAATTTGCTTATTTTAAGGAATTTGGTAGCACTGTAATGTCAATTTAACGAACATTCCCTTTTTGATTTCTCAATAATTGATCAAGACCTGACGTTTATTTAATCAGTATAACATAAGTTGTATAATTAATAAACACCAGTACTTACATTGGGATCAATAGCTGCATTAAGTTAAATTATAGAATAAGATTTTTTTTGCTAAAACTAGCTAACTAGCTAAATAGCTAAACGCTTCATTTTCCTTATGATGACTAACATAACGTAATATAATATGATACGAAATAAAAGCACTAGCTTGATACAGTGTTTACAAAAGAGTAAAAATGAAAATAAAGATTGAAAAATCTAAAAGATTTAAACAAATGTTTTAATGGTTAACATTTTTTTTCGTTAGAACTGCTACTAATTGAGATGGTTTTAAATGTTTATATTTTGGCGATATTTATCTTTGGCATCGCAACTACAGTTGGGTTAAATGTATAAAAAACGGTTGCCGAGTCTACAAACGGAAATAAAAATTAAATTCCCAAACTCCGAATCCGATATCAGTGTCATGTTGCACAAGATTAACATAACATTGCGCACCATAAAACATGTCTATATGAACACCTTCCACTAACAGTAACTGCATTTCGCATGCAAATGCAAAAGTGCATCTCATAAGTTGAATGCTGCCTACTCAGATGAAATCGCGTCGGTAATTATTTGCAATGTTTACTTAACACCCTTTCACACATGACGAGGCATCGACAATACGCCGCTAGGGGGCAACATACCCCATCAAAATATCAGGTACGTTAAATTGCTTATCTGTCCCGAATCAATCTTGAATAAAATCTTTAATTTAATTTTAGAGTTGATTTAAATTCGGATTCATAGGTTACATTTTTACGGCGTATATTTAAATAAGCTTGTTATTTATTCGTAAGAGTTAAATCTTGATGATATCGGCCTATATTTTTATTATCACAGACCATCTCTTGCGAATAACGGTTTTTTACTAAGAGGCAAATTTTATTATTTTATTCGGCTTATAGTGAAGTCCCAAAACTATAATTAAGAACAACTGAAGATAGCGAGAGAAATTATTATCGCGGGGTAAAAAACAACACAAAATAATGTTAAATAACATACGGCGACAACGAAAAATATACGTACATATTACTTTTAAAAATTAATGATCTGTTAAGATTACCTATAACTATTTTTAGATAAACAAAATAATCATTTGTATAGATAATACAAGGAGTGTGGTCATTAATAAGCAAATTTGATTTAACAAGATAGAGCCTTGCTTGGAATTAGAACGAATAAGTTTTAGCGCAGCTGCGTAAGAACCGCACAAAATACGGTCATGAAAGCCAGCGAAGCTTTGTTGACTATGTCTAGTAAAGGTATCTTACTAATTGAATCCATACCATCTTAGATTTCACTACTAACAGTGTTTAACCATATTAATATATTCTAGGTTGTACCAAAGGCATCCTTTACATAATATCACAATAAAATGTTAGATAATTTGAAACTATTGCTATTATCATTTTCTTAATTGAATTTTATTATCACTAATAAAAATTCAATTTATAAAACTGAACGCAATCACTTTTATTTATCTCCCCTGTAAGGTTAAAATATTTATCAACTTTCATCAATCCTAAGTAGGTACGGCTGCTATGCTTAAGTTGCACATTTTCATCACTACATAAGATAATCTGACTTCACAATTAATGTTGAAAGTACCGAGTAACATCAGTTAAGTAAATATGCAAGTGTATGTAATAAATAATGGTATAAAATAAATAGCCAAGTAAGTGTGTAATGAATCTAAGAAACAAACATACATTAAAGAATAACTATCGTGATTACGATCAGAAGCGATGACAGTTTATACATCGTTTGACGAATAGATTAAAATCTATTGAGCGATAAAACTACGTAATTCCATTCTATCTGAATATATCATTCGTCCAAATGTAGGTTTATTGCCACTTTTCTCACGGAACTGATATCTAAGAAAAAAATAATTGAAAACGAATTCGCCGTTTGTTAATGTCAATAAACAAGAAAAATGACGCACTTGAACGAAATGACTCCTTTACCTCGACGCTACCTCGCTGTACTCAGCTAATTAACAGTTTTCTGTGATGGCAACAGATAATAATAATACAGACAGCTGCTTCTTACAATTCGCACAGTAACTACGATAATTGGATTTCTTTAGATGGTCCAATGAATGAAAAATACACGGTTGAAAAAATGGTCAAGCCCCGATTTCATATTTCACTAGGCGATGTCCGACGCTGTCCGCGACATAACGACGTTACTGTATTCTTTATACATTATCCTCGGCAGAGGGTCGGCGCTTCCAAGGGAAGCGTATGGTATTAACTACTAAGCTATAACAATGCAGATGTATCTTCAAGAGGAAACCGGTTCCGTTCCTAAATGGGTCACACGGTTTCAGCTCCCTCAGTTTTTGTTAAGCAACCGCGACGTTGCATTCTGCTCCGCTGCCAATTCTGCTTCAATCTAAACCGTTTATATTGTTTTTAAATCATATACAGCAAAAAGTTTTACGAGCATTTTAATGTTACCCCGATATTGTATAAAAGACTTCTATAATTTTTCATTAAAATGCGACTACGATATCCAGAGGGGAAAATTAAATAATTGATACTATAAAATAATTCCTCAATACTCGTTCATTTTGCTAATAAAAAGTTCGATTGAACTATGTTTCGTTTAACGACTACTTATTTATTACTCGACCATTAAGTCGTCGTTATCGTCTCGAATGGGTTCTGTGATATTTTAAATATCCATTTAATTTATATACCCAATTAAAGCGTCGCATACTAAGTGTTTACAGAGAAACCGATTTCCCGTTAGTTGTGAGTGTGATCGGCGACAGGGTCAAGAGGGCGCGGCCCTCCCGGTGCCGAGCCGGTGCCATCCCGCGCGTTTCTATGCTAATCTTTACGCTTGCATACATGGCTCCCCGACAGCTATTAATGATTATAGTCATCGTTTTCACTTAATACTCATGTTACTAGTATACTTAGCCTCCAAGTACAGCAACGCGCTGCGCAGTCCACAATGAACCGTTTATGAAACCTACGCCTACGTCGAACTTAGACAGAATGTATTATACCAACAAACTAGTTCGCTTCAAAATCTATCGAGCATTCAATTCAAATAATATGAGCGATTTAGTCTATGAAAACGGAGCCGAAACTGACGATATTCTGGCACTGAGCTACACAATTGATTTGCATACAAACGCATGCGGCGACAACGCACGAATGGGTGCGGGCGAGCCGAGGCATTCGTTATAATTTTGAATGTATGAATGAGAAATAGCAGCGCACATCGAGCGGGCGCGCGCCGCGTGGGCCGCGTGGGCCGCGCGCCGACAATGAGCCGCGACGAGCGACGTGTCCCTGCCGGCCTTGTCAATGCGAGCCACTTCTACATCCGTCTATTGTCGTCATTTGTATTCGTGTTCGGGAGTGCGCGGTGACGAAGATGACGGGCCGAACCGAACGCGTCGCGGCCGCCACCGGAGACAAAGCTGAGACTTCAGGCGGAGGCACTAATGCTAACGGCCATCGCCGTGTGCGGCTGCATACAAAGGGACAAACTGAGACCGCTACCCACTCGAATATTGGCTTCGTTGTACATTTTATATTTATAGCAATGCCCGCTTCGCACGTGGGCTTCTGACTTAACATTTTTAATAAATTACATTCTCTTTTATCATCAAACATACATCAAAACGTTACATAATCCTTTTTTTCTATTGTCACTTTCGCAAAAGTAGTTAGCGCTCTCAGAGTTGTCATAGAAGGTTTTATATCAGTAAAAACTCCTGTAGTTTCTTAACATTGTGAGGATTTTATCAAAAGGGTTAGGCTTTGTAAATTCTATATTGGCATGTAAGTTGCCCTCGACACTTTTAAACGTTTCACATAATAATGATTCGTTTTGACGTCACAAAGAAAACAGAAGGAGTAGCCCGCGGGGTCAAGTTAACATGATGCATTTTTTATAATGACAATATGCGACGACGCGGCATGGTGCGGCACGGTGCGGCACGGTGCGGCGTTTGCTCATTTCTGTGTCACCATTCAAAGGATGCTGTTAACAACGTCTCTCAAAGAGCGGGCATAATTTGATCGGGGTCGCGTTTCTATGAGAATACCGTTGAATGTGCTAACATTATCTCCAATGAATAGTTTTATGTCCTTTATCCATTTTGTATGGCGTTTATAGAAAATAAAATATTTTAATATTTTTGCATCTAGATTCGTTTGTGTTGCAAAGCCATAACGATGTGCACTGACACTTTTAATATGGTGAGATGTTTATACATTTTTATGTTAATTAATACAATTTATGTTTTAGTAGATTTATACATTTAACCATTATAAACAGATAACGTAATAGAAATTTTAGTCAATGTGTGTTTTTAGATCACATTAAATTTAAGTACCTAGACAAAACTGTTACATTAAAAAAAAAACGGTAAAAACTGTTTCTTCAATCGAGTGCAAAAAATATGGTAATTTGTAATGATATATGCAGCGAGTCTCAGGGGGAACATTCTTAGGTTCGCGAACTCTTATTTCTTTAATCTCGCTATACGTATTCAAATGAGTGCTTATGATTTATTGAGTGGAACATTAACATTTTTATTATTTGTTATTCTTACACCTTTCGTTGGGGCCGGAAGACACGCGGCCTATGTCTCTGTGTACTCAGCCGTGAGACTCGCTCGACACCGCGCGCCGCGTCGCTGCAAACTCAGCGCACACAAAAACTACTCAGTCGACACAAAAGGTAACATATTATCATAGTTTACATATAAATTTTACGCGGATTCATTCCGAATTCACGGCACCTCAATATTCGTCGATTATAATGATAATTGCATCGATACACGAACGTTCGATTTGATGTACGGCCGTGAGAAGCGGCACATTGATTTTCCGCAATCGCACTACACCTGACTCGTTTACAAAATGTCAATTTATTTAGTTCGGTCTTTATTTATATTTTTAAATAAACTTATCATGGAATATGAGTAAAACATGACTGGCAAGAAGTTTTGTTGGTAGAAAAGAATAATGCAGATATGAGTAGGACGACGCCGCATCGTGCTTGTAGCACCTACCAGTGTAGGCGCAAACCGTGTCAAAAACGTGGCCAAGACATCTGGTCCACGTTCATATTGGCTTTCATTATGTAGAAAAAATAATTGGGGTCCAAGGCCTAATGTTTTAATCGGCCAATAATATTATCAACTATGTAAAAAGCGAATAATTTGAGTTTTATCTCTGTCTACCTAGTATGGATCGGTTACCTTATACAATGCTAGAGTTTAACGCCTTTATTTCTAAAAAGAAGCAACTTACGGCCAGACATCAATTTTAACATCTTTGTGTAGATTGAGGTGCGCGTCCTGCGCGAGCGGCGGCAGCTTGTAGTAGTCGGCAACGAGCGCCTGGGGCTGCCCGTGCGCGTGCACGTGTGCGTCCTCCGCGACGCCCAGCGAAGCCGCGCTCAGCGCCTGCTCCCCGGACGCGTAGTACGTGCGCCAAGACTCGGTGCTCACCTCCATCACCTCCTTGCGTCTCCTGCACCACAAACATTATACTTATTTATTTGTAAATGATGCATTACTTACACTAACCATTCCATTATATATTTATTATCCTGCAATACATCATCGAACCAAATCTTTATCTATCGAGCAATGTAGACAACTTCCGCATATTCGCATAGCAAAAAATCATCGCCACATAATGATATATTATTCGATAAAAATTGTTGATATACGAATCATTGTTTGTCATTGAGTCTATTGAATCAACAAAGTAAACACGACGTAATACGCTGATACCCGAAGCTTGTAGTTTTACAACTGGACCGACTACAACATACAACCAGTTATTAGGCGTGACCATTTTGGTACGGATACTGACCTTTGATGGTATACATCGGCGGTCGTCCGCGTCGAGTATGACGTTATAATACGTACGCTAATTGTTGCGTACACTAACCGTGAGTCAGCATATCGAGTGTCCGGTTGAAGAAGTCTGAATAACCACTGAATACGCTGGCCGCTTCATTTTTTTTGGCTTTATCCGATAGCGAAGCGATACAAGTGGACGATATCGAAGCGTTTGCATCTCTCAACGGACTCTTATTCGGAGGTTAGCCTGTTGCGAGAGAGCAGCGGCTCGTGGTCCGCAGGCATACGTCACGCGGTCGGCCCGGGCCGGGTCGCCTGGCGCTGCGCAACCTGAATGTAGAACAGGTCCGAACCACTTGCAGAACCGGAAGGATACGAGGCAAATCCCTGCTCCCTCGCCAACCAGTTTAGGTCGTCTGACGTCACGCCCAGCGGTATCCGACGGTGCAGACAAATAAATAAAAAATGTTGGAAGCACGCGTCGGACGAGTTTGACCGGATCGTAGTTCTACCTGATTCCTGTTCCTCGTTCATACGCGCCTGAGCACTGCTCATTGTCATAAATGTACCACTACACACACAATAGAATACGATTAATTAGCATCGGAAAAGGCATTAATAAAATAAGCTTCTTTTCTATCACACGCGCAAATAATATTATCTAAAGGTATGTGATATGTAGTGCAAATAATAAAAAGTGTCAATAACTGAGCACAACGAGATACATGCATAGATCATTTTTTATATCATTATAATTTGAAAGTTTGGATGAAGGGATGTTTTTTCTCCGTATCTCCGAAAACCGTTTAACTATCCTGGATGAAATTTGACTCAGATGTGGAACATAGTCGGTAAGCTACCTACTTATTTTTACTTGATTCCACGCAGATCAAGTACGTGTGCGAAGCCATCATATATGTAATTCTCATAATAATAAGAAAACCCCAACACCATCATAACAGCAACTTAAGATAAACAATATACTACAACATACAGCATTTTTAAATGTAAAGATATCGGTAAAGAGTAAAAGTTGCGCAAAAAATACCTGTAAAACCCGAAGTCGAAAACAAAACGTGACTAATACAGCAATTAACATAGGTTATTCAAGAAAGCGATGCTGGCGTCTATCAAGAATAGAATATGCGAATCAGTTCAGAAAACTGGAAAAGCCAGCTTCTGGCATTTAACCAGCCGAAGCGTGAGTCATTTGACGAGTTAACTGGCAGGCGGCGGGAGAGGGGGGAGCGGGGCTTGAGGCGCGGGTGCAGCACGTGAATGAGATTCCGGTAGGTGCGCACGTAAAAATCGTGCAACGAATCTAACAGGTTTGCTGGGGTCCTTGCGAGGCCACCGGGACTGGTCTAACCTGCCCTGCGCGGCTGAACCTCGAATTTCCGCGACCGTTTGCTATCACGTCGCCTTCGAACCGAAACGTAAACACGCTCTCGTGTTTACACCACGCCCGCTGCTGCCGCCCGCCGTCGCCGTCCGCCGCCGGTCGGGCGCTCGCGCTTTGAACGACACTACTTTTGCAATCGATCAACGAAAAGATGTTAACTCATGCCTTTATAAATAATTAATCAATCAGTACTACCATTATTGTCGATTGTTCGAACAGTTTTAAGTTTCGCAAGTTGGCCTCATCTGTTTGTTTGTCGTCTATTGAATGGTGCCCGATTAGAAAGTATCGCACGCAGCTGTCACGAAGACGTGACGTACGCTAGAGTGGAACGGATGGCTTCGAACGAAGGGTTGAAGGAGTCTCGGTAAGGCAAACAAAACATTCGCCACGGGCATTCATGCCCGACCGTTTCTCAGACAAATCGCGTACCTTGATATACATAGCAAGATCTATACTACATCGTTCAATGTGGATCGTGTGCGAAGGTCTATTTTAAGATGTGTACTACGTTTAAAGTGGTGTCCACGTCGCTCAGATTTCCTAAAAATCCATCAATGTCAGTGTGCATCCAGCGTAAGTTGATTTGAATGTGCCGGGAAGTACTGTCTGTTTTTAAGATATAATCGAGGTTCATTTCACCAACGATGGATCTTTGGATTACACGAGAATGAAGTCAAAAGATCAATTCGACGTCAGATGTGTCGGTGACAGTGTAAGACGAAGATGCATCTGAGGTGTCGGCGCAACTAGCGAAGCAGTGTCGTGGTGGCGTGGCGGTGAAGTTGGCGGTGGCGGGCAGCGGCGGTGAGTTTCGAAAGGCGGCGCTGGCCGGGGCCACGTCCGGTGTCGCGTCCGACTATCGATCATTCGGTTCGTTAATAAATAACACGTCGGCGTCGTTCGCCGCTTATCTCCGCTGTTCGGGCATGTGGAAAAATTTGGTGTAGGTGTCGTAACGGAGCGGCACGCATGTCGCGCAGGCTGCGTGCGCCCGCCTGGCGCGCTATCCTCGCGGTCGTTGCCTCCCGCCTTCGTTGCATCATTATTAATCTTTTAATTAAAATCACGAGAGGGACTTATATTAAGGTTCAATTTACAACGTATGCCACGTTGAAGTTAACCCACAAGTTATAATTGTATCATTTTAAATTATATTAACAAAGGTACATTTAGTTTTCAAACTGTAATACTAATTACAGATAATTTTTATTTGTGTCACAAAAAGATTAAATTGTCTTAATTTAGAGAAGAGAACACTAAATCAATGAAAACAGCAAAATAGATAATTAATACGCGGCCGTCCATAACAGACAAAACAAATAACTGCACAGCGACGATAAATTCAAACGTCATGGTAATATTTATATGAAATAAAACAAATTCGTTCCGCTATCGACGAACGTGTCGTGACGAAACTAAGCTTTATCCAAAACGGTTCCAGCAGAGCTTAAACACGGTAATTCATTTTGAGTGAATTAGAAGTAATACCGTTGTTTTAGAGACGGTCCGGCACCTTATTCTCACAATAAAAATCCCACACTGTTCGTGCACATTGGAATTGAAATGTCTCCTATTCATCACATTTAGATAACACCGACGACGATTTCAATGTAATTTAAATTCTAAAAACTTTAACATTAGACTTTTTAATAGAATTAAGTGAGTCAAATTAACAACAACGCGTCGTATATATAAATATCGTTTGCGTCACTGCGAAAAGAGCACCAAGATTGGAGATTTATACTAGCATGATCTCATTTATAATGTACTTAATACAGTTTTTATTAATAATAAGGCAGCAAACGAACGCAAACTAATTCCTTGGTGATCAGATTTCGTTGAAATAGCGAAGCGTCCGCTAGCTTTAGACATGAGCAATTGCAAATGCCTACCGTAATTGAAGAAAGAAAGGTCGCACAGAATCAGGATATTTTTTCTTATGCGTTCTTACGTCTTTCTCTGCCAAATCCGTTTAACATTCTCATCATCCTCCGGCGCCCACACTCATTAGTTAAAAGGCAGAATGACTTCCACTTTACGCCTGTCTACTGTGTGATCGTGGTTTTGTACGATTGTGCAAAAGATCTTATTATGGGCAATTCCACTGTTTTCGTAATTGTAATTTGTAAAAATGCAAGAACTTGAAATTGAATAGATACTACATGGACTTTACTCTATAGATAACTCTTACTTTACTCTCTAGTAACAATAAATAAGATATCGTAAACCCCAATGAAATTTCATTACTATGAACTTGCTGCATCGAAGTTTCACCGAGACATTTGTTTTCGTGAACGACATCTAAAAGACTTAAGTACATTGGTATTGCATCAATAAAGCTCCTACGCATATAAAAGAAAATTGCAATTTTTCTAAAGTGCAATTTTAGTGGAAGTTAGTGACACAGAAGTAATCCTAAGTAAAACTGTATTCCATTATAAATTTCACATTATTTGTGTTTCATTATTATAAAGATTAGACGAGTTTAAAAATCACTAAATCTCATTTAGTTCAAAAAACGAGCGAATTAATAAAAGAGCGAAATCCGACACGCACAGTTGAAACTGACGACTAAAGCCGAGTCTCCGCGCAGCCTCTCGGGCGGCAGGTGCGGACACTGTGTAGGCAGTCAGGGGAAAGTTCAGGGCGCGGTTCAAATCAACGCATGTTTTATCATCTGTGATAAGAGAAACCTGTATCGAAGCTCGCTAATGACTCATTAAGAGCATTTGACGCGGGCTTTCCGAGCTTTATGTCTCTGATAAATAATGTAAGCTCTCAGTAAAACCGCACTTTTATATTTAACATTGTAACTTATAAGGTACGTTCTTAAATTTTAATGTAGTGTACCTAAAGTAATAACTACATTTAAAAAAAGTTTAATTAGATTTTTATATTCACTTGAATAATGATCCTCGTGAAATAAGACAACTTGAATACGCCCACTTTTCACGATAATGTGTCAACACTGAACAAACAAAAGAAACCGCTTAAAACTCGGTTCAATTAGATTTTTCATTTCCATTATAATTTCCACGATCAATTAACGAGTGAATATAAATGAATGTAACATTGAACGATTGTCTATAGTAAACAATTAACTGAGCGGATCGGAGAAAATCGCAATCACCTATGAATCTATTTTATATTCCCACATTAAACCTAACGATTGCAGAGGGAATGCAGCGTCACCGCATTTCGTCAATTAAAGAATTCGCAGTCTCGGATTGTGGCCGCTGGACGCACGCTGTTATGGG